AATTAAAAAATATATATATTAAATAGTCTAAAAAATATAAAAATTTCGTAGAATAACGAGGAAAAAATCATAAAACTCTCTCTTTTAAATTGGTCCCATAAAAAAATTGAGATTTTACACACTAAAAATTAAAAAAAAAAAAAACGAAGAAATAAAACAAAAAGTTAAAATTGCAATTAAAAATACCGTAATTAACTCAAAACTACCATATTTACATTATCTAATCTAAAATAATACCAAAAAAATATTCTCACGTGATATTGCATAAAAAAAGAACAACCATAAACAAAAATATTAACGGCAACTCCTTAAAACACCTACAAACACTTATACTCACATTCACTCACGCTCTCCCACCAGCGCTTTAACGCAAACGCTATCACTCTCTGCATATGCTCAAACCAACTTGACGTTACTCATTCATCATAAGTGCGCCAACAACACAACAACATCGCCAGCAAGAAAGTCAGCCAGCTGCAGCAGCGCCAGCAACAACATAAAAGGCAGCAGTGACAGTCAGCAACAAGCTATGAAACGGCTTGCTTACAAACGTTTTGTTTTCTTTAGTACTGCTGTTGTTATTTTCAGCCTTATTGTGCCGGCACTAGCAGCTAGTAGGCAAGCATGTTATATTCGGGCAAGCTTTGCGCCAAGTAGCTGCTGCCGCTGTCGTCGCCGCTGCTGCTGCTGCTAAAGTGAAAGTTGCACAAAAGCGTGGTCCGTTATCTCGGCAGCACGACAGCGCGTACAAGCAATTCACACCAGCACCAGCGCCAGCACACACTCATACCTGGAACGTCCACGCTGATGGACGCATGTGCGGCAGCTCGCTGTAGTGACTTGACTTCGCTTCCAACATTGGACATTTGTGCACCGAACATTAAGCAAACACAATATATTCTTTTAAATATATACGTACGAACGCATACATACTGACATGTATGAGCGCACTATAAATTAAACTCGTTCGGAATTTCTACAAAAAGCTTGTAGTGTGCGGTTCTTTAACGGTGCTGCGTGTTTAGCCGAGGCCGAAGCAAAGTATGTGTGTGGTATTTAAATATGCAAAAGTGTGACTTATAAATGTGTTGTTACTTTCTTAATGGAAAAATGTGGCAATTTAAATAATTAAATGCTAAAACTAAAACTAAAACCAAAAAATTCGAAATACAAAATTAAACAGCGACAAAAAAATATTTGTAAGTGCTAAGTGGCGCTGAAGTGAAAGGATTTGTGGAACACGTAAACTCGAATTGTAATATAAGTGAAAACACTACGCTGATATATGGCATAATTAAACACAAAAGCAACAAAAAAAAAACATATTATTCATCGATTAAAGTGTATGAAAGGCAACAAACTAAAATTACATATTGTGCTTGGTATAAATAAAAAATAGTTCGAAACACAAATTTGGCTCGTCTAAGATTTTAAATGCTGAAATAATATAACAAAAAACATTAAAAAAATATGAATGGCGATATAAAAGGCTATATTTTATATTAATCAGAAGAATTTTGTTTTTTTTTTTTTTTTGTTTTTTTGTTTATGAAGCAGGAGTTGTTTCGGTAAATATTTGAAAAAAAAGCAGAAAAAAGTTAAACTTTTCCTTTTTTAGTTTTTTCATCGACTATTCCAAAAATTTTTTCACTGTCTAAAAATATAGATTTATAGATCCGAATATCAACTTTTATCAACTTTTGAAAAGAGGGAGCAATTAGGAAAAAATTATCCTTGTACTAAAGTGCTTCATTTTAAGGGAATATTTTTCTGAAGTGATATTTTTAAAGCCTTCATAAAACTCTATTTATCATTGTTCAAGAAAGTGATCAATCCTTTTATTTCTTGTGCTCACGCTCTCACCTAAGAAGCAAGGATAATCCTAAAATTTGTGACTATTGTACATAAAGAAATTTGCTTTGTCAAGTTATTTATATAACTGTAAAATCTGAATGTTTTTCTACCATAAGATCCACATATAATTTGTATAACCTTAGCCAGGTCTTTTAAGTAGCGCCGAACTACTCTAGCTTAGCAACAGCCATGTTTTGGATCATACTAATAGAATATTTTCTGAAAAAAAAAAAAACGGAGTGAATAGCATTTGTAAAATTATGCCTATATGGTCCCCTAAACTGCAAAACAATGTAGCATCAAAAAATAACTGAAAATCGCTGTCATATATAATAACCAATATGTGACTATTTTATAACCAATATATATCCATTTTATAAGCAAAACTCAAATTTTGATTCAATATGAGTGGTTTCAATTCTATTGCTTTTTCTCCGTCCGTTAACTTATGAAAAGCGATCTTATGTTATTTTTCATTTTAGGTGACAATATGAGCATCCAGACACCGCATATACAGTTTGGCAAGCAAATAATTTTTTTACTCTACAAATATCTGATAGGAGTTATTTTTTGGAGTTAAAGTTCACAATTTTACCGAATGCTAGGTTGAGTTTCTTTTTTTTATTTTTATATGATGTATAATTTTTGTTATACTTCAAATCAGAGGGTCTTCAATAAAAAGCTTCTGGATATGGCGATAGTACTTGGAAAAAATAATTTTTGCCAATCGGTTAGAATCGTAACGTATAGCGCTTAGATCATTATCACCTTCCTTATTGGCTTAGTACACTAAATCAGTTAAGCCTCACATACTTGTATAGTGAACTTACATGCATATTATTGAATAATGGCATGCAATAAATTTTGCGAAATTTTTTCTTAGGAATTTTATGGGTATAAATACCGAAAACATGTATAAGGGAATATTAGATTATAATTTGAAAAATATCGCCGCAATATAGGCTACCAACGACCATTTTTTATCTTTGGCTGAAATATTTGCCAACTTTGCTAAATAGCTTTAGAAACTAATTTGACATTTTTAGCTTTTTTGTGCGCCACTTTGGGTGTTTTTTTACATAAGTAACACGAAGGCTTTGTCCAACTAAATTTTATGAAATAATCATTGGAGAATAAAAGTGCAAACTTGTGAGCACAGAGTCACAAGTAAGGATTTCAATGATAATTTTTGATTAGCTTTTCAAAATAATGCGATAGTTTTAAAGTATATAAATTGATCATTCCTAATCGAAGCCATTAAAACAATTATTCTAAATATTTAGCGTTCAACCAGCGCATACATAAATTTTTTTATGTCGTTAACAGTAATGCGCTGCGTCTCCTCGATTACGACTGCTTGAATACCAAGGTTGTGATCATAAAATACTCCTTTTATGTTAGTTGGATTAATTAAAATCTCGTTCACTTTAAGGTCTGCAGATCTCTATTTATCGAAATATTGTTTACACCTTTTTATGTATGTTATTGCAAACCAATACTATCATTTCTAAAACAAGTCAATAGCTCGACTGGCATGGCCTTCAGTGGCTTCAGCGAATTTCTATTTTATTCGGTTTCGACTCATTTTGGAGGTGCCATTCCCTAGATTGTTGGATGATTTAGACGTCATTTCTATAAACTCTCCTCAGTAATGATGCGTTTTATGAATGTAAGATACTCAGCTACGTCGCCTTGCGACCTCTGCAAAAAATATGCAAAATATTGAAGTCTCTTGGTAAGAGTCGGGCATTGGATCGCTTTATATCGAATATACTAGGTTGTCAAAAAAAGTCTTGCGGTATTTTTATTGAATTTTCATTTGTTCATAATATTTTTTTTTTTTTTTTTTTATGATGACTCATGCCCAGCTCTTGACCGATGCTACGGCTGCTACTATGCCGGTCTTTTTCGACAAATTCAGCGATTTTATCGCAATTTTCGACAACAGACCTTCCGGAGCGTGGCGCATCTTCGACCACCTCTACACCAGAACGAAAACGTTGAAACCATCGTTGCGCGGTGGAAATGGAAACTGTATCGGGTCCATAAACTGCACAAATTTTATTGGCTTGAGATGCATTTTTTGCCTTTATCGTAGTAGTACTGTAAAATATGCCGTATTTTCTCTTTGTTTTGCTCTATGTTTGGGACGCTATAACTCACGAACGACTGAAAAGAAACAACAATCAATCAAACACGTATTAGCGCGTGAAATGAGCTTTCCAAAAAGGTATAGCATGACCCGATGCGACTAATAAAACTAGAACTACGCGCTCTCAGCGCCAACTGGCGAAAATAACGCAAGACTTTTTTGACAATCTAATATATAATATTAACCAAAATATATTGAGTCGATCCATAAGAGGTGGTGTGATCCGCTGCTCATCTCTTTGATGCCAACACCACGATTTTCAATCCGATTGGATAAATTCACGACCTTCACCAAATGCTTTGTAACACTCAAATACTTAATTACTTCTTGACAAAACAGACTCTTTAAGATACTTCTGAAACATTTAGAATTTCTCGCAATCAAATTAGTTCGCTACTAATAACTTAACGCCATTTTTCACTTATTAAGCACGTTTAGTAGCTGCTGGACAACCTGGGCTTTTGTCATTTAAGTCTTCCCGGCCATTGCTTAATCATGAAAACCACATCTACACTTGAGTACGGCTTTGCAAACATTACCATTCACTTTTATCAACAATTTATGTGTTTTTTTTTTTTTTTTTTTTTTTTTTTTTTTTTTTTTTTTTTGAAATAAATATGACACAAAATTTTATATTTGCTTTTTGTTCTATTTTTATTGTGTAACATTTGCATTACCTGAGCTTCTTATATTAAGTTTGCCATGAAGCTTGTAACACTCAGAAGGAAATATGGCTTACTCTATAAAAATATAGACATAAGCGATCAGCATGATGAGTTGAGTTGAGGTAGCCATGTCCGTCTCTTCAGCTGTCTGTCTCTATAAACGCGTACTAATCCATCAATTTTTGTTATATCGATTTGAAATTTTACGCACGTCCTTTTCGCCTAAATAAGCTGATAATTTTACGTTACTGCCGATTTCGGATCACTACAGCATATAGCTTTCATGCAAACTGAACGAATATCCAAGTGCTTGTATACGTTTTTATTTGACAAGCTATCTTCACAAAATTTAGCAGCGATTATTGCCTAAGACAAGCTATCTTCACAAAATTTAGCAGCGATTATTGCCTAAGACATTGCTGAAATCTGCGAAGCAAAAGTTCAGATCGGTTCACTAAAGCTTATAGCTGCCATACAAACTAAACGATAGGGATCATGTCCAAAATAATTTACAAAGCTGTTTTTGATATTTCTAGCATTTTATGGTTTTAAAAAGAAAGTACGGGTATATAAAACCACAATGCAAAAAAACGCTATACACAAGAGCGTAGAAAATATTCAAGTAATAACAATTGATGTTGTGCTGCTCAAAACTGTATGATTCATTTAATGCTTATGACTTGGCGAACTGTTAGCAATTTAATATTAATAATTATCCAAGCTAATTTGTAGTTAAATCAAAGATAAAGCCAACATAATTGTCAACTATTAAACGCTAACATTGTAACAGTATGGGCAAATCACACAGCCGTTTAAAGCACAGTTCTTCAACATATTAAAGCGCATAATAAACTCGCCACAAACACAAGCACTTTGTGTTTGAAACAAACACTGCACACAATAAAATAAAAAAGAAATAAAAAATAAAATAAAATACACGATAATTCAGCAAAGTGAGAGAAGAGAAAAATCGCTTGGCTGGTAAATAACTGGCACTACAGAATGTGTTAATTAGTGTCTTTGGCCGATATGTGGACTTGCTGCGCCACTCGACGCGGCGACGCGGCTACGCGCCTCCAATTCGCTTTGGTTTGCATGCGAAACGCTCGAGCAGACAGTTAGTTTACCGGACCAGCCGAACGCCTGCAGCAGCCAACTGTTGTCGCTGATAGCCATTTATCACTTACACACACACACACACACACACACACACACATACACATATTTATATAGACTTTTAGTGGTGTGCGAGTCCCTCAACCCACTTCGGCAGCGCCTGGTTCAGTTAGTTATCACGACCGGCGCGCATTGTCAGTTAGGCTGTTGTTCAGTTTTGGACCGTTTTACCTTTTTTACCGCGTTTTTGCTGCGCCGCGCTCGCAGTGGACCGTTGTTTTCGGCGATGTACGCGTTATAGCTATGTTGTTGCTGCTGTGTGCAGCTTCTCTGCTCTGCTCGTCTTTCTCTGTACTTATTACTTCTTATTACTTAACTTCCTTTGGGTTTGCTGTTGTTGTTGTGGCCACAGTGTGCTTGCGCATACGTAGAGCGACATGGCGCATATTCACCAATTTGTTATGGCAGTAATTTTCTGCTTACGCTGCTGTTCTTTATCAGCTATTTTGCTACCGCATTTTGCACATTCCACATGCTGATTGCATTTCATGCTCATAATAAGCATAAATTATCAGCTTTGCCAGCGAATTTGCCACTCAACGCCTATGCGAGTGCCGGTCAGCATGTGCATTACCACAATAACAAAAAAACAAAACAGTTCAGCAACAACAATAAGAGTGTGTGCGCAAGCAATCAGCGCAATTACACTCAAACACACGCACACATACACACACAAACGCATACAAGAACATCACATGCATGATAACAACAACATTAACACCAATAATTAAGTTGGAGAAAACTAAAGTTTACACATGTCTATTCGCATAAATGTATGCATGTGTGTGTGTGGCAATATTTGCCGCTGCATCAGTGCAGCAAAACAAGTTCGTTGCTTCAGTCTTTCGTTCGTTCACTGCCATGGCCAGCGCGGTGCCAAGCAGCCAGCCTCCAGTTTCGTGTGCTGTCAGCCTTGTTTTGTTCTTGTAAACGGCTGTAAACGTCGATGTGCTTTGAATGAAGCGTATGATTGAGCATACAGCAGAATAGCGGTAGTTTTTGCAAGCAATAACACAACACACTTTAGTAATAACAACAACAACAGCACACAGCGCAATAACAAAGCAAAGCATATAAACTTGTGCGCTAAAATGAAGCGTAGTTTATGAGTTCAGCAAACAGTAGCCAACTTCGCGCATGTGTGTGTGTGTGTGTCTATGTGTGCTTATTTGTATATATAGCAGCATCCGCAATGCAGCATCTCAGCTTAATGTGTGGAAATATTTATGATATAGCGAGCATAAATATTGAAATATAAATTCTAATGGAAAAATGTTTTTTTTTTTTTCAATAAATTTAGAATCTGTTTAATTATAA